GTGTGTGTGTGTGTGTGTGTGTGTGTGTGTGTGTGTGTGTGTGTGTGAGAGAGAGAGGATCTCTGTCTTTTTCAGTACCTTTAGTTGTAGCGTTTTGGAGAACAAATGCACCTGAAATACAAAGAAATAATTTCACACACACATGTTCAAAACACATACATCTACTTATGTCCTCAAGTACTACCACAGTTTGTTCCCGACCACAGCTTGTTCCCGAACCACAGTTTGTTCCCGACCACAGCTTGTTCCCGAACCACAGTTTGTTCCCGACCGCAGCTTGTTCCCGACCGCAGCTTGTTCCTGCACAGTTTGTTCCCGACCGCAGCTTGTTCCCGACCGCAGCTTGTTCCTGCACAGCTTGTCCCCGACCGCAGCTTGTCCCCGACCGCAGCTTGTTCCTGCACAGCTTGTTCCCGACCACAGTTTGTTCCCGACCGCAGCTTGTTCCCGACCACAGCTTGTTCCCTACCACAGTTTGTTCCCGACCACAGCTTGTTCCTGCATAGCTTGTTCCCAACCACAGCTTGTTCCCGACCACAGCTTGTTCCCGACCACAGTTTGTTCCCGACCACAGCTTGTTCCTGCATAGCTTGTTCCCGACCACAGCTTGTTCCCGAACCACAGTTTGTTCCCGACTACAGCTTGTTCTTGACCACAGCTTGTTCCCGACCACAGCTTGTTCCCRACCACAGTTTGTTCCCAACCACAGCTTGTTCCTGCACAGCTTGTTCCCGACCACCGTTTGTTCCCGACCACAGCTTGTTCTTGACCACAGCTTGTTCCTGAACCACAGCTTGTTCCCGACTGCAGCTTGTTCCCGACCACAGTTTGTTCCCGACCACAGTTTGTTCCCGACCACAGCTTGTTCCTGCACAGCTTGTTCCCAACCACAGTTTGTTCCCGACCACAGCTTGTTCCCAACCACAGCTTGTTCCCGACCACAGCTTGTTCCTGCACAGCTTGTTCCCGACCACCGCTTGTTCCCGACCACCGCTTGTTCCTGCACAGCTTGTTCCCGACCACAGCTTGTTCCCGACCACAGCTTGTTCCCGACCACAGTTTGTTCCCGACCACAGCTTGTTCCTGCACAGCTTGTTCTTGACCACAGCTTGTTCCTGACCACAGCGGTGGCATTTTGGGAACAGTGTGTTTGGTCTGCTCCGCCATTCAGAAGTAAAGTGTATTAACACGGAAGCCACAGGCAGCTCAGATGGTTTGTTCCTCACATGGTGGCACGCCAGAGAGTCAGTCACGCTCCACTGCTGAGAATTCTTTACTCCCATTTGAATCCCTCAAAACCTGTGTCCTTCATAGAATCCCTCTCAATGTGTAGTGGAGGCCTAAAGTGTCTTATTTTGTTCATGAGACATGGACTGTCGAAAACGGGGGGGGGGGACAAAACAGCAATCTGTAATTCTGCTGAGATGTTTGCTACGAAGATACATTCCTCACCGTCGCAGCGCTGCCACGCAGTGTGACAGAGAGGAGAGCTTCCTGTTCCTTAATGAGACTGTTTGTACTGTTAGTCATCCCCATGGGAACGGAAGGAATGTACACACACTTGCTGTATTTCCCTGTGAGACACACACACACACACGTAGAGTAGTGTAACATAGTCCCTAGTCTCACATTGACTCATGTATTTCTATTTTATGCTGCTGTATACTTCTACTCCACTACATTTATTTGACGGCTTTAGTTCCTTTTCAGATTAAAATATGAATCAACTTATAGATGATAATGTTGAACCTTTACTAGCTGCAGCATTAGGGATGCTTCCACATTAATGCATCATTAATTATTATCCAGTAATATAATGTATATTATTTTAAAATTCTGCCAAATGAGTGCTTTAATTATGTTTTGGTGCTAATACTTTCACTTGAGCAAGATTGTGATTGTAGACCTTTACTTGTAACAGAGTATTTCTATATGGAATAGCCGACACAATGCTTTTGCAGCTCTGTCCATCTTTTTCGGATGCTGGCGTGTGTACATCATTATAATTTAGCGCTGTCTCAAACTCCCAGCTGCAGCCCAGTAAAATTTATAACCCTGCATAACTTCTGATATACTGATATCTGCATCAAAGCTGTAATTCAGCGCTGCTCTGAGAGCTGTTTGCTGCAGACGCTTCCTTCTGTTTTATCCAACAATCCAACACTGTTTTCATTCACTGGTCATTTTTTGAGTCTTTGGTCTATTTTTCTTTCATAACTCCTCTTCTTTCAGACTACAGTAAATACAACATTTATTTTACTACTTTGTCTGTTTACATCTGTAGATTTCTACTAAATTCACCAAAAGTTACCATTACATAATGCCTCATTTTTTTTATGACTGTGCACAATATTTTGTGATTTATGTCGTGATAAAAAGAGATATGAATCCCCTCTGTAAAAACCTTTCACTCTAATATGTCAACAAAATGAAGCAAGGATTTTGAACTTGGTTTCAATGCAAAAGAAAATTGTCTTAATGTCAGTATTCAACTGGGGAAGTTTCATGGCGATATCTAGTTAAATATTTTACCCCATTCACCTATATGTTCACACATATTTCTTGTTAGTCTTCCAGTCTGAATGAACCCATTTAATTGGTGATACTCACCCAGTAGTGAGGAGATGAGGATGATGTTCATTCTGTCAAACGTCCAAAATCAGATGTGCACCTCCGCTGTGATTTATTAACACAAAAAAAGAGAAATGGACAATAACTGTGATTTCAAGATTCAACAGTAGAAGCTACTTGAAACAGAATAACGGTCTCTCTGAGGAGGAGTTTCGACCGACTATCACGACAAACCACAGACAGAGATGGTCATCTTGGTGGAGACGTTTCCTTCCTCTGTCAAGCAGTTAACAGGCGGAGCCTTCAGAGTCCAGGGACACACGGAGAGGTGAAGATATACCGAACCACAAATACAACACAAGTCACCGTCAACAAGCCGCTTTACAGTGAAATCTCTGAAGTCACGTCGTAATCAACGCAGCATCATATATGTGACCCTACAGTCAATGGAAAACATGTATTTTTTTACATAGCCACGATAGCAGCATGTTTTTATGGATCACAATATCTGTCGTTTTGTCCACCACTTTCTAAAATATCTCAACAACTTTTTAATAGATTGCCATGAGATTTTATGTTAGATATTCGCTGTCCCCAGAGGATGAATCCTAATGACTTTGGTGACCCCTCTGACTTTTTGTCTAGCGCCACCATCAGGTCAAAGTTTTCACTTATCCTGTTAATTAAATCAACACATACTGGATGGACTGGGACAAAAAAACAAAAAAAACATTCATGGTTCCCATATGATGCATCACATCACTTTTGCAGATTTTCTGAAAATGAGTTTGACATATTGTGGTTTTGAGTGAGGCTACAAACATATTGGATGGATCGTAATGACATGTCATACACACATTAATTCACCCCTTTGCAATAACTGAGTGGAAAAAAAAGGACTGGAGGAAGAAGCGAGACGAGTTGGGCTCAAGATCAACAGAGAAAAGATGAAGGATTCAAAGTACGATGGTCGGAAAAGACATTGAAGAACTTAAAGAGTTCACTTACTTGGGAGAAGGAAGTGGAATGACGGACCTGAAGAACAGACTGGAGCTCCAACAACATCTCAAGAGGAACAAAGCTGAGGCTGTAGGAACACTAAATGAGTGTGAGACGTGGCCTATTGGCCAATAACGAGTTCCAACCCGATATCTGGGCTTTGGGTACCGGCCAATAACGAGTACCGATCCGATATCTGGGCTTTGGGTATCGGCTGATATCGAGTACCGTTCCCATACTGTGTGGAAATCACTATCTCTAGTTTTCAGAGCTACTTTAGTCTTGTTTTACTCATTTTTTAAATTTTATGAAGAACAATACAATCCTCTGGATCACTGCTAGACAGCAATTATTGTGTATTATAATCTTAAATAAATATCTATATAATAGTGCAGTCTAATAAAATAGCATCAGTCTAGTTGCTGCTTCTTGAACTGTTTGCAGCCAAACCTCTTTGAGATTTTGCCATATTTTAAAGTGTGCAAAATAAATGAAATTCATTACTGAAAATGATTAAACCACATTGCAATTCCTATAAATTTCTACCCTTCGTGTGCTCTGTGCTTTCCCCCCAGGTAACTAGCTGCCTCATTATCCCTCCGTGATCCCCGCCCTCTCCCTCCATCACTCCCTCCACCCTCCCGTCGCTCCCACATCCAGCCTCCCATCATCATCATCATCCACACGGTTTCTTCCAGGAAGCTCGTCGGGCAGTCGGATGCTCTTCTGCTGGAATGCCTGGGAGAGAGAGCATCCTTTTTGTCCATTTCTGAGGGAGAGAGAGAGAGAGAGAGACAGTGGGGAGGAGGTGGAGGAGAGGAGGAGGAGGAGGGGTGGCGATAGGAGAGAGGATCAGACATGGCTTCTAAGGAGATCACTGCCTCTGGTTTCGTGGGTGCGAGCAAGGATATCACAGGTGGGTAAAGACAGACAGTTTTGGTTTAATTGCTCCGTGTTGCGGGTTACAACCGCGGTTGCCTCCCCCTCCCTCCCCCCGCGTCCGCGTCCAGGCTCGGGATGCTTTTTTTTCCCAGACTGGCGACCGAACCGACGCATTGGACGTCGGGGTCCTGAGCTACACCTTTCACATCTCGTCCCGGAGCTCACCGGGCTCGGCTTTGTCCTCCTCAGCGTGCATGTGAATGATGAATTATTTGCAGGGAAATATACCTTTTGCTGTAAATCTGTCCCTTCGGGGAGGATCAGGCAATTAAAAAAAGAATAAGAAAAACACAGCCTTTAGGCCAGAGGAAAAAGGGGCGTTGTGGAGATAATGTTGTGCACTCGTGGGTCTGAGAGCGTTTTGTTCTGCACGTTTTTATTATTTTTTTGTACCAAACACCCTGATCCTGAGCACGATTCCCTCTCTAAACCTGAACCCTTGAGCGTTTTATCTTCGTTTTCCCTGCAGCCTAGAACCAGCTGGAGCGCTATATAGTGATTGCATGCGTGCGTGTGCGCGTGCGTGAGAAAGTGAAAGCGAGGGGGACTGGTGAAGGCACATGTTCACTGTGCATCTTGCCAACAAACGCGCATAAGCTATGGGCAAACAGCCGCGCGCAAATATGTCTATTCTTTTTTTTTTTTTATGTATATATATGTATATATATATATATATATATATTCTCAAACAACAACAAAGTCACAGCGCAGCCTGAAGCGAATGCACGCGCACAGACGCACGCGCGCTCCTACTCATGCTCGGGGTCTGCCGCTGCGTTGATTACTCCTAATGGCTCTATTAGCCACACTGTGATGATTAATCCAGTGGAGTCCCTGCCTCCTCATTCAGTCACCTGCCTCCTCCTGCACTGGCTGACTGACAGGAGGAGGCACCGGGGTTGGGGGGCCTGGGGGGACCACTGAAGGGGGGGGCACCGAAGCCCCATACAAGCTCACCTGATAGACTTCAGTCCAGATCTATTCTCAGTGTTGTATCTGACTGAAAGATCAGCAGACTGGTGCCAGTATGAAAAGCATTTATGTATTTGTTGAAGTCTTGGAAAGTACGTGGAACCTTTCTTTAAACATACCGATAAACATTTCAACAGTAGAGGAAGAAGTACTATGATCCTTTACTTTAGTAAAAGTACGGTGTAAAGTATTGAAGGTGAGACACTACAGGCAAAAATATTGGTTGTCATGCTCTGGTCAATGTTGAGATTTTGGTCTATTTTTCTTCCATAACTCATCTTCTTTCAGACTAGTTGAAAGGAAACGTTTATTTTTCTACTTTGTCTGTTTACGTCTGTAGATTTCTACTAAATCCACCAAAGGTTACCATTAGATAATGCCTCATTTACATATTTAAACATAACATTTCGGAAAACTTGTAAACTTGTATAAATACTCCTTAATGTGAGTGATGAAGTGGTTAAGTTTCATGGTGATATCTATGAGTTCATGTGTTCACCTGTAGAGTCTCTAAATGTCTGTAATGGAACTAAACGTCTCTTTAAAGGACGTTTCCTCTAAATGAGTTTGTTCTCAGACTCTGATGATAAATCTCCACTTCAGCAGCTCTTACATTCACCAAACTTCACTCGTTCATTCCTCTCTGTGTGCTGAAGGTTCACACAGAGGGGTTAGTTCACTCACCACTCACACACTCATTTATGCTACATTTTATTACGAAAAACATGGAGAAATGACTCCTGGATGGAACTGGATGTTTCTGCGATGGCGTGCCGTTCCCCATGTGTCCCCCCCCCCCCAACCCAGATGCGAGTGAGACACTTCCCTTTTGGCAGCGTCCACAGGTCAGAGGCCACAGAAGTGACGGTGATGCTGCTCGACAGGAACAGTTCTCGGTGCATCATAAACACCGATGCTCGCATGTGTCATGTTGCTCTCGTAAGAGAGAAAATGACACTGAAGCATATTGTGCACCACGTTGATGATGAGTGGGCTGAACTCACCGGGGCGATGCAGAAGGATTTCTGTGATTAATCCATTCGGTGCAGACTTTACTTCCCGCTAAATGTCAGCCTCTTCTTTGCTTCGGTGTCACATGCAGATTGAATCGCTTTTTTTTTTGGTTTGTAACATATTTAAAATCATCAGGATGCATAGAGACTCGGAGTTCATTGGATTATTTCATCATCTGAAATGCCACGACAGGTCTGTTCAAATGACAAGTCAGACGTATCCCTCAGTTATTAGATGAAGACGTGAGTACAGGCCTGTCCGCCCAAAGGTCAAAGTCATTCAGCGCATGGTTTGATTTGGACTAATTTCATTTGATCTCATCCTAAAACATTTGGCCGTAAATATCAGGCCGATTTTGACTCAAATAGGTAACAATGGAGCCAATCTGTTCCATTCAGGCGGCAACCTCCGGTTCTGTTGGGTGAAGCTGATGTGGAAGTGTCTTAAAGCTGCATTCTCTCTAGTGTCCACCAGGGGGCGACTCCTCTGGGTGTATAGAAGTCTATGAGAAAATGACTCTACTTCTCTCTTGATTTATTACCTCAGTAAACATTGTAAACATGAGTTTATGGTCTCAATCTCTAGTTTCAAGTCTTCTTCAATACAGCATGATGTTCATTTAGTACATTATGGTCCATTTAGAGTCACACAGACCATAAAGCAGGGGATGCTTTAGGGCGGGGCTACACGGTGATTGGCAGGTCTCTACCAGAGACGTATGCAGTGTCTCTACGTCACTCCTCCTCAGTCCAAATATGGTCACTTTCAATAATTGGCTGCAAAAAACCCAAGATGGCGACGGCCAAAATGCTGAACTCAAGGCTTCAAAACGGCGGTCCACGAACAAATGCGTGACAGCATGCCGACTACGTCCACTTCTTATAAACAGTATATGGCACAAAAGTTTAGGAACCCCTGTTTGTGCTTATTTCTCCAACATGTTCATGTGTTTTTCATCCACAGAAAGCATCAGGAAGATTATCGATAAATCATCCATCAAGTTCCTTCATGGAATTAAGCTTGACGCTAAAAGTGGGAAAACAGAGGACAGAATACTGGTGAGTTGCTGTTTCCTCTCTCTGATATAGAAGAACATCTCAATCCTGCAACATAAGCAGCCTGATGCATTGCTCCACGTATGTGCAGTATCTTTGATGTTAACCTCCCCACTGCAGCCTTAACGGATCTCTGCCACATCCGTGACAGCAGAGGTGGAGGCTCTCCGTGATTTAACGGTGAGGGTGAATGCCGTTTACTGCCCGCCGCCCCTCTTCTGTGGCTGCTGTTTGGCAGCTTGGCGGGATGAATATTGGATAGATGGTATCTGTGGAGGCAGTGGGGGGGCTGAGCTGCTCGCAGCCTTTGATTCTGGGGCGCTTTCATCACAGAATATGGGACAGAGATGTGAAATCTCGATGTGAGTGAGTGAAGCTCCGCCAGCTATCAGGGTAAAAATCTGGGCCAATCAGCACTTCTATTATGGACCAGAACGTAGACTGGACCCTGGGAGGATGCTCGTACTACACGTGCATGAAAACACACACACACACACACACACACACACACACACACACACACACACAGGTGACATACAGTAAGTACAGATCAGCAATTATTGATTAAGTGCTCCTTTAAATGCAGCAACTAAACCACGTGATCTTATACAATGTCCAGGCCAACTGCAATGAAGTAAGTAGTTTTTACACAGTTTAATTTCTGAACCCCAAGCAGTGTTTTGCTTCTGTCACATTTTACTCTCCGTGGCCTTGATTTTCACGACAATATATAAGTTCTGCACCTCTATGGAAACAGAACAATGAGAGCTAGAAGTAGAGAGAACTCAAACATGTCTTCTTTTGTGCAGAATAACACACTTATAATGACATAAGTCATGAAAAAGAAAAAAAACGCAAGTTGACTTTGATGAGTTTTTCTTACAAAAATGGAAAACAGTGGAATCTTTATACATTTTTTCCAACTGCCCACAAATGTTACCAGTGTTGGGAATAAAAATGGAGGCTCCACATGCCTATATTCATTGAACTATTTATACAACCTCTACTTACAGCCTCTTAAGCAATATTTTAAATGAGAACATGAAGAATAAAATGTTTTTGATGAAATATCACAATTTTAGGCTTCGTTTTGGCTGCTTTTTCTGACTTTTTGTTTTATAGCTTCTGGCTACGATAAACAGTGTAGTTCTCGCAATCGTTTAAAGAAAACATGCTTTTGAATCCCGTCGGTGGTTTTTGGGGGTCAGAGGGTTGAAAGACCCGTTGCTTCTCCTGTAATCTAAACTTCACCTCGGCAGAGCTCCCACCCAATACATGCTTTAATGAATCGCTGTGTGGCGAGCGCGGGCGGTTAGGAGAGTTTCTGCATGTAGCAAACTCTCTTTGATGCTCAGACACTCTGATGTGACTGTGTGCCAGAAACATCTTTCCAATCCATGTCTTACTTCCTCTTTAAAAGCTGAACTGGAAAGACTTCTCGCTCATGCTGTGTTCGCAGAGAAGATGGAGAAATAGATTGGAGTTTGATCAAACGCTCTGGGTTTGCTTTTTTTGGGGGGGAGGGGGGGAAGCGGAGCTTAAACGTGTTACGTTTTTAAGTCAAAGCTTCTGTTATTGCTAGTTACATGAATTTATCTTTGATTTTCTAACTGGTCTCCTCACCCTAAAACCCCTTTCCCACTGGACACACAAACACTAACGTCTAGCTTTTGTCTTTAGTGGGAAATGTTACAATCAGCATTCATTCCTGGACAAATCTATTTGCAGTAGTTAAGTATTTATCAGCCTCAGCTCCGATCGAGGGTACGCCGATGCTATGTGATGCACGTTTAAGTGAATATACAATTATGAAAAAGCAATATGCATAATTATTTGATGTATTAACTCACAAAAACACAATTAATATGCTCTCCTCAAAGCCACCCGACTCCAGTCAGACAACAATCTCATTACCTCG